GATGATAAGTTAAAATAAACTCACATTCTTTAGAGCCTTTTACAGTTATAAGGCTCTAAACTTCCAGGTGTCTGTGTCTTTTTTGGGGGTAGATCACACGACCCGTCTCTCAAGATGAAAAAGAGCGTAAATTCCTCTCCACGTTGCATAGAAAAAAGACACAGATACCCCCAATCTAAATGTAGTATTTTAGATACTGATATGGATCAATGTAAATAAAATACAAAATTGCTCACCTTCTTTAGAGCCTTTGTTAACCGGCTCTAAGTATTTTAGCCTAGTGTCAATTAATGGGGATGACACTGCCCCTTCCTGGAATCACTTGCGCAGAGTATAATTGAATAGTGAATAAAATGTATATATTTATTTAAGAAACTATTAAAAATTTATACATACTTCTAGAAAATAATAAAAACAATTAAATATAATACAAATGTATTGAGTGGTCTGCTAACAGGTCCACCTAGTTAGCCAAAACGCGTTTCACCGAAAAAAACGGCTTCCTCAGTCAGCTTCAAACAGTATCATGGATCAAGTCTCCTTTTTATATGTTCAGATTTCCCGCCAGAAATTTCCTCTCCTCGTTTGTGTTAATTGTGTCCAGTGTCCCCAGAATGGCGTCACGTCACTTCCGCCCTTCAATCCTACAAGTTCCATCATGCTTTGTGTTTATCAGCGTCACTTCCGGTTTTCGCGGGCAAAATGCGGTCGCATCACTTCCGGTTGATAAATACTATAAAAGAAGTAGAAAATATGGAAAGATCCTCCCTTTTGAAATATAAATCTAAGGTGAAAAATGAGCACAGTATGTTGCCCTTCATCTCTAATTTTAATCAGGAAAGCCATAGAATAAAAAAGATAGTAAATAAACATTGGCCCATGCTAAGAAATGATCCTATGCAACACTCCATATTACCAGAGAGACCAAGATTTGTATACAGGGGAGCATCAAATTTGAAACAAAAGTTAGTACATAATCATATAAAAGAAAAACCAATTACACCTTTCTTTCAAAATAAGGGCTTTTTTGGCTGCGGACAATGCTTAGCTTGTAGGAGCACAAAAAGCAAAAAGAGACACATTAGGGAGTTCCACGATTCAACGAAAGAAAAAGAACACAAAATAAAGGAAATGATCACTTGTTTCTCTAAAAGGGTGATATATGTTTTAAAATGCCCCTGTGATCTTCTATATGTGGGGAGAACGAAACGCCCATTGAATGTGAGAATAAATGAACACATACGGAACATTAAGAA